TGGCATCACCATGGTAGATGGAGAAAAGATTGAGGTTGTTTACAATCACAGCTTGCTCAACTCCACAATCAACACTCAATCAACCCGGAATCAGAAAATCAAAGGACAAATTGCATTGGGAAAATCTGTCAGGGACCTCTCCAGAGTACTGAAAAGCAATAATGTCAGTCTAGAGACTAAGTTGACCCTAATCTAGGCTGTGGTCTTTGCCATTAGTTGTTATGTATCAGAGAGTTGGACAATGACTAAGAATGACAGAAGAATCAATGCCTTTAAATTGTGGTGCTGGAGAAGAGTCTTCAACATATCACAGACTGCCAAGAAAACAAATAGGTTTGTCTTGGAGAAGGTGAAACTAAGTTTTCCTTGGAGGCTAGGATTTTGAAGCTCTATCACACATACATTGGGAACGTGGTCGGAAGTACTAGTCCTTGGAGAAGGACATCATGCTTGAAACAGTGGAGGACAGTGGAGGAAAGGAAGACCCCAATGAGATGGTTGATACAATGGCTGAGGCAATGGGAGTTGATGCATTGAAATTAGTGAGACTGGCGCAGGACAGGGTTCAAAGCTGCTGTTCATAGGGTTGCTATGGGTCGCAGGTGACTCAGTTCCACATAACAACTATAACAGTCTTCCAGACTCATAAGATGAAATACTTAGGAATAAGTCTATCTAAAGATAAAAAAAAACCTATATGAAGAAAATTAGAAAATGGAAGAATATACCATGACCACGGATAAGAATACTTAATATCATGAAAATCACAAGTCTACCAATAGCATCCTTCAAGTTCAAAGCAAGTCCAACACAGATAGAAATTTCACTCTTCAATGAGATGGAAAATGCAATTTCCAATTTTGTCTGGAATCGAAAGAGACCCCCAAATAAGCAAAGCAATACTGAAAAATAAAAGCAAGGTAGGAGGTATTCATATTCCATGTTCTCAATTCCTACTACACAGTCATAGTAATCAAGACAGCATTATCTGCAACAGACAAAGATCAATGGAATAGAACTGAGAACCCAGAAATCACCTCAACTCATTGAACTATGGCCAACTGATCACTGACAAGATGAAATTAGTTAAGTGGGGGGAAAGAGCCTCTTTAACAAACTGTACTGACCAAATTTGAAAACGATCTATAGAAAACTGAAGCAAGACCTGTATAACACTAAATCCAAGATGAACTTATGGTGGATCAGGAACCTAGGAGTAAAACCAAGGACTACAAAGTTTATCAGAGAAAACATTAGGAGTATCTCTAGAAGTCCTAATCTATAGCATGAACAGACATCCAGCCATAATGAAAAATCTACAACTAAAGAAGATAAAATAGATGGATAGGACCTTCTAAAACTGAAATCCATATGCACATCAAAAAAAATGTCAACAGGTTAAAACAAAAAACTCACTGACTGGGAAAAATATTTGGCAATAACATATAAAATAAGGAACTCAACTAAATTTTAGAGAACACTCCAGCACTTCAACAAGAAAAAGGCAAACAATCACAAATTGGACACAAGAAATTCAGATTGTAAAAAGACACATGAAGAAATCTTCAAAACCCTTAGAAATGTAAATCAGAGCAACAATGAGATGTCATCTCACCTAGCAACAACAGGAAAATTAATATTAGCAAACAAAAGCTGTTGGGGATGAGAAGAGATTATAACCCTCATTCACTGCTGGGGGGAATATCAAATGGTACAAGCACTATGAAGAGTAGTCTGGCACATTCTCAAAAAGATAGAAATAGAAATATCATTTGTCCCAACTATCTTACTACTTGAGAATAGGCCCTAAAGAAATCAGAGCCATGTCACAAATAGATGTATGCACACTAATGTTTTTATTACACAATTATTATCAATAGTGAAGAGATAAAAGCAGTCCAAGTGTCCATCAATGAACAATGGGGTATTTAGCAAAATTATGTTACATTCACAAAACAGAATATTAAGCAGCATTATTTAATTTTCCCTGGCTTCAATTAGAATTTGCACATGAGCAATTGATGGTCGGTTACTCAGTCAGCACCTGGCCTGATTTTCACATCTAATATTATGCTTCTCCAACGATTCATTCCACAGATATAATCAATCTGGCTCATGTGTAGCCTGTTAGATAAAGTTCACGTGTACAGTCACCATTTGTATTTTTTATAAAAGGTATTTCCAATGAATAAATCACTTAGTATACAAAATTACATCATTCTATCTCCAGCCTCAATTCTGTCACTAAGTTGTATTTTCCAACTTCTGGTTCTGCTTCCTTGTTCCCAACTCTTGCCTTCCAATCACCAATTACTATTCCTTCACTTTTTTATTTCTGGAATAGTAGATTATATGATGGTCTGATTCAAAGTTGCCAAAGCCAGTCCATCTTAGCTTGCTTATGCCTAGTGTATCAACCTTTAGACATTCCATTTTTTTAACAACTTCCAATTTTCCTACATTCGTATTTTCTACATTCCACATTCCAACTGTGGATGTTACAACAATTCTTCTTCATTTTGGTGTCTTCAAATATGAAGACTCAGATCCACCACTATATCTAATAGTCTACATATACTCTATGTTCAGTGGTTTATATGGTAATAAATATTACATTAAATAATTTAAGAAGCATTTAAAATGTATGTCAGCCATATAAATCGCAATAAATCAAATGAGAATACATAATAAAAGAAATATAAATAAAACTGTTAAGATTATTACCAAAAGGCTAAATTTGATGTAATCTTGATTTTAATGTAAATATTAATATTATTAGAAATTTTAGCAATATTTCTTTTTATTATGAAATGAAGTCTTTTTATTTTCTATCATCTCTACCTTAAATAATTGAAATGGTTGTGCTAGAATATATTTGAACAATATTTTTCAGGAACAAGATGATGAATATCAAGTCATCTGATTATAATAAAAGGACCTACCGGTAGCATTAACATGGTACCAGGAGGACCAGGTAAACCATCAGCTCCTGGCAAACCAGGACGTCCTGGTGGGCCCTATGGAAATAAAAGCCACAAGCAAAATAAATAATTAAATAATCGAACTTACTAGATTTAGAGTAACTTTTAATAACATTAGTTTATACAATTGAGTTTGCATTTGTGTATTCCTCCTTAATTACTTCCTTTAAAGCAACTGTACTTAGAAATCATTTCTTTTGATAATTAATGAATAGTCCAATTAATATATTAATTTTGTTCTAAGCTTATTCAGTGCTTCTAATTGTATGAGACAAAACGTTTATGTATATTTTGGGGAGAACTAGTATTTGGTAATCCAAGTGTGTAATTCAAATTTAGATCTTAAAAAAGATAAGATAAACTCTAAAGTAAATAATAAAATATTTATTTAAAATTAAATGGAGAGCTTTAATACATATATAAGTATTTTTGTAATATATTTAATCTTTAATTTATTTTGAATCCTTATTCGTGAAATACAACAAACATAGAAGGTTATTTATGACAATGGTACCTATTAAGAAATATAAACATGTCTGTAATAATAGAGAATATTGACTAGATATGCAACTCCATATGAATAGATGACACAAGAGTACCAAACATAAGTCCATAAACTGTCAACATAAATAACTTCTTTTTTCACCAACTCCTACTTCATTTTGTCCTTAGACGGAATCAAGTCAACTTTGCCTCATAGCATAGTAGGTACAAAACATATTATACTTGGGCATGGTAAATTCTAAAATTAAGCGATAAATGCATCAAAAAGATGCAACTAAATCCATTCATTCAATATAAAAATACTGAAGCAACATGTTTTAAATGTTAATTTCTTATAAAAATTAATAAATCTTATAGTGTTGACTCTAAACCTATACAATTATATTTCAATAAATTCTCTATAAGATTAAAAATCTTTTTGTCATATAAAATAACTACTTCTAAGGCAAATCATTATTTCAATTTCTAACAAGTCTAGATTGGTAAGCATAAATTCTTTCATTAAATATTATCTAAAAATTTTAACTCATTGGTGATGTGCCAATCGTGGTAATGGGCACCCATGGTGGACAGTGTTGGCTGGAGCTTCCCGACTAAATCAAGCCTGGAAGCAGGAGCGGCATCCACTTCCAAAATGGCTTGCCTCGGGAAACTCTATGTACGAACAGTGCTCAGGCTGTTCGTTCATAGGGTCGCTATGAGTCATCTACGACTCGACGGCATTAAACAGCAACAACAGCATACATATATAGGTTTAAGGAACTGTGTAAAAAGATTAACTTATTACTTGAGATAGGGCCTTAAAGAATCCAAGGAGTTCTTAAGAAAATATGAAATTTGCATATTAAAAATGAATTAAAGTCATTGGTTATAAATAAAGGTGTGTATCAATTTGGACACACCAGATTTAGTAAGTAGATCAAATAGTCACGTTTGCATAATATATAGTTTATGCCCTCTAGTCTAAAATAGCTACCATTAAAAAAAATAGTTTGTTTAAAAATTGTATATGGATAATCAATCATACACATGGTTGACCTTAGCATTATTTTTAAAATGACTACAGACACACAAATATCTACCAAAAAAAAGTCTACAAATGGATTGTACTCAGAATTGAAATCTTATAGTGTTGACTCTAAACCTACACAATTATATTTCAATAAGTTCTCGATAAGATTAAAAATCTTTTTGTCATATTGGAATTCAAATTTGAAGCACTGAATCTAATATAGTGAATTCCTCTCTACATGAAAAATGACTTAAAATGTAATTTCTTTACTAATTAGATCATTAAGAAAGACAAGTTATTTAATTTTTTTTTTTTTCATTAAAATCAGAATTCACAAACTTGCTGTCAAGTCAGAACAGGTACATAGCTGATCCTTTAGTGGGGTTTTGGAAAATGTAAATCACATGAAAGGACACTATAAATCTATGCCGCAGAAACACTAGTAAACCTTTGGGTAGCAGCACCAGAGCTACTCTATTGGTACTATGCCACCAAAGCAAAATTATAGCTGTTGTTGTTGCTGATTGCTGTTGAGTCGAGAGTGACTCATGGCACCTCTATGAACAAAATACGTAATGCCTTTCTACAACTGTCATCATTTCACCAAGTTCATAGAGTTTCCAGAGGCATATGGTTTAGGAAGTAGATGCTACTCCTTTTTCCAAACCTGTGTGACTACTGGGTGCTCCACCACACAAAAATGTTACACAATTAAAAATTAACAAACTGCCTTCTCCAACACCCTTCACCCAAAAGAATAAAAGATTAACTCTCTAAAGCATCTTTTCAAATTCTTTTAATATCTGCATTATATTATTTTACTTACCCTGTCACCAGGGTCACCAGGGGGTCCAACAGGGCCTTGGAGACCTGGAGGGCCCATAAGACCCTATGAAGAAATAAGTCAAAATCTGAGTCCTTTCCCCAACCTCATTAGTATTCAGGAAAAAACTCTACCATTAGAATAAAAATTGAGCTTATTTCATAAATAATTGTTTCTCAAACAATTGCTCTCTTTATCTTCCTATGAAAAGAAATCATAAAGGAAGCACTATTTCTCCTACTGTTTCTTAAGGAAGCTGTTTTCTATGCAGGGTGCACACTTTCTAAGAGAAAACATGAACGAAGGTATAGACTAGTCCATGGCTCTCACTGATGAAATGGCATAGTCACAGAATTTCTCTCACTCTTGCTCTTCACCAATAGAACTGACTCAAAGCTAGACTCCAGCTGGTTGTAGGAGGCTGTAAATTGTAGAGAAGAGATAGCCTATCTTTCTCCTTCAGAGCCACCATGTGTTTATTTGAACCACCAAAAAGTAGCCATATTTAGGTTAGCTGTGCAATTGTCTAAGGGCTACACTTCCAGAGCCTCCTGATTATAGACTGAGATCTCAAAATTACAGTAAGAAATATTGGAAATATGTAAATAATGTATCTTGAAGGCATTTTCACATTTTCCTTGTGTAGAAAATACAAAGGCATTGGATCATACATTATCCTAGATGACAAGAATTTAATCAATCAAAAGAGAAAAAATTTGCGAAGTTGGACTAGTACAGACATTCTGAACAAAAGATACTCAGAAAAGTATTATCCTTAGCAGGATAAGACAAAAATTTTCTATAAAATTCCAATACTTCTTTTCTTATAATAATATATTTATAATAATAATAATCTCTTTTCCACAATTTGAAGTAGAAAGTTAAAACACAAAAGATACAAAAAGTGGTTACAACTATATTTATAAAAAATTTAATTCTATATAAGCCAAAGAATATCAATTAGACACTCAATTCTTAAGAAGGCAGATCAAGGCTACCAGCTTTCCAAAAGAGATATTTTCCTCTATCATCCAATATTATAATTAGTCTAAAATATATAAATTCAAGAGTAAAATGGAACTCTTTTAACAACAATACAAAACAAAAAATCAAGCCAAATGTAATATTAAAAATTTACATACCGCAGGTCCTGCTGGCCCTGGGGGTCCTTCAATAAGCATACCCTATAATAAAAGTATTTTAAAGATAAATTATTTAGAAAAGAAAGATGCCTTAAAGTATTTATGGGATTTTGGAATTATTGAGTACATAACCAAAAATGTAGTTAAAGCTGCATATTTGTGAGTAAATAAATAAATATTTTA